TCGCCTCTATACGTCATCAGCTTCTCTCGCGAAACTTCTGTCATGCTCCGCATATACAAAATCTTCCAGAAACCATCCGACACGCCACCAGAGCACCAGCACCACAGATGCGGTCTTTTCCTGGCTGGTGAAGAGCCCGTCACACCAAATTCATGTGTGTCTGCGATCGTCCTAGCCAAAAACGTGTCTGTGTGTGTGTGTGTGTGTGTGTGTCTGTGATCTGGTTAGATACGTGTGTGTGTGTGATCTGGTTAGATAAGTGTGTGTGTGATCTGGTTAGATACGTGTGTGTGTGATGTGGTTAGATACGTGTGTGTGTGTGTGTCTGTGATCTGGTTAGATACGTGTGTGTGTGTGATCTGGTTAGATACGTGTGTGTGTGTGATCTGGTTAGATATGTGTGTGTGTGTGATCTGGTTAGATACGTGTGTGTGTGTGATCTGGTTAGATACGTGTGTGTGTGTGTGATCTGGTTAGATATGTGTGTGTGTGTGATCTGGTTAGATATGTGTGTGTGTGTGATCTGGTTAGATACGTGTGTGTGTGTGATCTGGTTAGATACGTGTGTGTGTGTGTGATCTGGTTAGATACGTGTGTGTGTGTGTGTGTGTGTGATCTGGTTAGATACGTGTGTGTGTGTGATCTGGTTAAGGAAGTGGTTGATAGTGGTTGATGTAATCCCAGATGAGCGTTGCAATGCTTTAATGCCAAATACTTGTTGAACTAATAAACCAGGTATTTTCTGATAATAAACTGGAATTTTAGTCGCCCGCCGAATATCATTGAAATTCATATAAGTGACCTTTGGGCTTCATTCAGAAATGTCCTTTGTTCTTACTCAAATCTCATTTCGGATTAACCCATCTGTCCCTCTCTAAATCTATTGGTATTTATTTTATTAAAAGTATGGATGATGTGTGTGAAAGGATTTTAATGTAACCTAAAAAAGAGACGTTACCTGTTACTAATAAAAACCATGCAGACTGATATGTATCATACAGTACCAACACTGTGCAGCTAATAACAAAATAGTGTCTTGAGCGGATCAGCGGGTTCGTCCTGACTCCCGGCAGATGCGATTGTATTAATACTGGTTATTGACTCGCTTGCCGTTTGCTAATTCATAGAGCCTCCAGTTCTGCTTCGTTCCAATTTAGGATTAATATGTTGCAGTTTGCCCTTTGTTTGGTTTGTGTTCACACTGCGATGTTTAACACCGGGCCGAAACACGACACGTGAGCAAACTGTTCTGTCATTGGTCTGATGTTATTGCAGCTATAAATAACCTCTGTCTTTGATTGGGGGCGTTTGGGGGTGCAGGAACCCAGTCGTTAAAACGTTGGGGAAGAGGTGCCTCAGGATTCCTCTGAAATGTGTCTTTACACTTGTTGAAGACCGTTTTATTTGTGACTTAAGAATTGAAACCTTTTTGCGTCTGTAAAGACGAAGATTTCATTTGAGTAACCACAAAGAGACTGTGAGGTCAACAGAGACATTTATTTTCTGAATAGTAGAGATGTTCTATGTAGGAAGAAGTTCACAGAAATTGAAACATACTCCTCTGTGTTCACTCATTTGTGTCATTCCTTCATTACTTCTTATGGGGTGGTGTTTAAAATAGTGTTCTTTGTGTGTCCTCTTTCTAGATCCAGGGTTCCATTCACCCCCATGCCATCATCATTTTGCCAAACAGCGCTGGAACAGAGGTGCTGGTTTGCTACGAGGATGAGGGCGTCTACATTGACACCTATGGCCGCATCACCAAGGATACGGTGCTGCAGTGGGGGGAAATGCCTGCGTCCGTCGGTAAGTAGCACTCATTGTGTGACTTACTGATTCTGGGTTAGCATCTGCACAGAGCAGTGAGAACCATCCTGAACCAGATCCTGTGACGACCGGTATGGGATACGGGGGCTAAACCATGGTACTATGGTAGTGATCGTGTGTGTTTGTCTGTCTCTCTCCAGCCTACCTTCAGTCTAATCAGGTGATGGGTTGGGGAGAAAAGGCCATAGAGCTGAGATCGGCCAACACAGGGAACCTTGAGGGAGTTTTCATGCACAAAAAGGCCCAGAAGCTCAAGTTCCTGTGTGAACGGAATGACAAGGTAAGTGTTTGTCTTTTAAGGTGTGCATTAAATATCTGCTTAAAGGAGGTGTATTAATCAAAGAGGTGTAACATATTTCATGAACTTGTTTCTCCAGGTCTTCTTTGCCTCTGTGCAGTCAGGAGGCAGCAGTCAGATCTACTTCATGACTCTCGGACAGAACTCACTGTTCAACTGGTAACGACTGGACCAGTTACTTTGGTATCAGCTGGTGGTGTGTGGCTTCATTTTTCTGGGTTAAACTGCTGGTGATTTTTTGCATTTGTGCCGACCGCTGTGTGCCACCGTGGATTCTGGATCCCGTGCAAAGATCAACACGTTTTATTTGTGATGCACAGCTGAGTTGATCTGCAGCTTGTATCCATCACTTAATCCTTGAATACTGAAGTTGATCTCACCGCCTCGCCATTCCACGCAAGCCCCAATAGGTACAGCGGGCAGCGACAGCGTCCTGGGAAAGGACACAGAGGAATGTTTCATCCAAATCTACACAGAAATAAACAACAGTTCAGGTACTCTCCTCTATGAGCACAGTTCAACATTTGGCTCACATCGCTCTCGGATCAGTTAAAAGTCTTTATTTTTTCTTCTGATGAAAATCCGTTGCTCTGCTATTGACTCTTATTTGCTTTGACACGGCTTGACTGGGATGTATTACTGGATCAAGTGAATCATCTGAGGGTCTTGGATGATTGTTCTCCCAGTAGACTAGCAGCGTAATGTGTCCAGCTGTACGGTTGGTCTTCACGTAAGAAGCCAGACGAACACAAGTCCTTAATTCCCTCCATAGACATCACCTGGCCATTTCAAGAACCGTGTCAGAACGAAATGTGGACCAAGTGGGACCACAACTCCTGCGTCATTCCACATCTCGTTTTAACTGCTTGCTACTTCGTCCCTAAATCAATGTCCAAATTGATGAACAACCCATGTCTGTGATACTTCAGCAGTGTTATTCATGAAGACATTTAGTGGTGTTTTCTTCTTCACTGCTACAAGCCGACTTCAAGGACCCAAACAGATAAATCAGTTAATGTACTGAATGCTCATTCTGTTGATTTCCATATTCCATTGTTACACAATCTGCATTGCACACTTTGCATTAACATGATTTGAGTAGGTGTTTTGTAGCATAATCTTAATATTCTACCTTACTACTCAAAGTTGGAGCATTCTCTCCATACTCTTTTATTATTCCATTTTTCCAGGGACAGAAGTAGAGCCACAAAACAGCTCAGCTTCTATTTTGAACAGCTTACAATGTCTATATTCTTGTATGATGCACTATTGTATAATTTTTTTATGATTGAAAAGCCATCTTTACGTATGTGTACAGGATTATGAATGCGAACCTCCATCCCACAACAGAGCTCCCTAACATGTTATGTCCATCTATGGAAGGTTATGAACATGAGCTACTGGCGGTGAACTTGAAGATCAGAATTTCTGTCAGGCTCTTTGCACACCTTGTACATGCTTTCTGTAACATCCTTTGGAAATTGCTTTTTTTTTGTTTCAAAGTGGAGAACGTTCAAGCCATTCAGCAGTCAGTATTGAAGACGTAACTGAACTGAACTCTGGATCAGTATTTCTGACACTAGCCAACACTAGACTCCCACGCGCTTATTAGCCTTGATGAGTTGATCTGGGCTTGTTCTTTGGTCTGTTTCTGTTCCGGAAAGAGCGCCACACCACGAGAAGACAAGAAGTCTTTGATACATCTGCTCCATGAATCCATTATGTAACAAACTGAATTGAAACATTTAAAAAGTTCAATGTTTTTAGTGTTATACACTGTGGAGGCCTGAAATATCTCCAGGGACATTCGAGACGGCTGCAGTGAAGAAATAATGGGTTTTACCCTTCAAATGTGAATTTGCAGCTTGTCCATTTCCTATCCATTTTCATTATACTCAGTGGGTTCAGCTTCGTTATGTTTTTCGTCAAATTATCCTCATATGTTATATTTACTATTGAATGTTTGGCGCCAAATATTTTATATGCAGTGATACCATATTTTTTTTCTACAGACTTAGATAGAAATATTACAGCTGGTTCTGTGAGAATATTTTAAACTGGAAAATGGACTTTCTGACAATGGCTGTCTCATTGCTATATCCTCACGAAATTTCACACAGGGTTTGTTTCTGTGTGAAAGTGAGACACCAGAGTGGCAGCTAGCTAGCTAGCATGGCTACAGCGCATATACAGGAGGGCGAGCTAGTGTCAACAGGCTAACAGTCCTGCAACTGCTAACCGGCGCTAAACGCCTCAGAACCCAGAGAGCTAGCTTACAATAGCTAGCTCTCTACAGCTAACATGCTAACATGGCGAGAATAGCAAGAAAAAACATTCCCCCTTTGAACCCTGTTGCTTATTTGTATATAAAATTGGACTCAACTGATTCCTGTGTATTCCTGTAGCTACTGTAATTAGATGATACAAACAAATTATTTTGATTGAACATCACTTGAGGCTTTTGCTTTGAAATGTTTATCTAGAAATTCTTACAAACTTTATCTAAAGTTATGCTCTGAGTGACAGGATGTTTGGCAATAAACATGTTGAGGGATGTTACCTTGTGGTCAGACAGGACTGGACTTAACCAGCACATTTCAGTAACCATTTACAGTAGGTACCTGGTAACTATTTAACACGCTTTCTCACATGTTCGCACAGAGAAGTCCTCTCGGCAGTCAGCCTTTGTATTCTCAATACAAAGTCAGAATTGGTGCGAATGTCGTCCCAGTTTGATTCCATAACCCCACTAAAAACAATGGCTATTCAGTTATATTGCCACGATCAAATGGGTTATAATTTTGCAAGTTTATGAATTCAGTCTTGTAATAAGTGATACATGGAAGTATATGTATTTTTAAAATGGTTGCTGTCCTTATGGCTAAGAACAAAGGTCACATCGTTGGTCACATTTAATACCTTTATATTCTCCACATCGTTCTGCTTACTCTAAATGTGCTGTCTTTCCGTTCAGCGTTGTGCTCCATCTGCTTCGTTCCTCATCCCGCTTCAAGGAAACAACAGTGAAATCGGTTCCTTCCCGCGCCATGCAGATCCGTGTCTGTGGGCTAATTCATGTGGCCTCTGAAGCTACAGCTTGGAGACACAATGACCACATGTATTTTTGTGGGTTCCTGGAAACGTGTTCCTTCACCTTATCTCCCTGTGCTGAACATTTGGGCGTTGCTGCGTTAATGAGATGAAGAGATCAGCGCTCTTCCAACTACATCTTCCTCCAGACAATGTCGCTCTCATTGCCTCAGCGTCCTGTACTCTCCTGTCTCTGCTTGATCTCCATCGTCTCTTCCTCTACATTTCCCTGTCCTCATGTCTCACAGACTCCATAGCTGCAATTGTCTCTTTGTCTTGGCTAAAGTTGTTGGCTAATGTTGAAGGACCACTCCTGTACGAACATTCATTTCAATTCTTTCATGTGAAACATTCCAGTACTCCGCTAAAGTCCATCGATGATCAACCGAAAAGTATGAAGAGTGTTAAAAACGGCAGAGAGCCGGCCCTGATAGAGGTGATGTAGGAATTGGTTTTCAGTCTGTATGGAAGGGAAGGTCAGAGTTGGAGGACGTAGTCGCTGGCTTGGGTCAAGTGCCGGTTCACAGAAGGAACATGGAGGTCACTTTGAGCTTCTAGACCTTTAAACATTCAAACGATGCTCATCAGAAACTCAATTTAAGAAAAACAGTGGGAGGAAATTCCTTTTAACATGAAAATAGGTGCCAGACTGCAATGTGCAATAACTATATGTCCTTGATGGTTATGACGAGGAGGCAGGGGAGGAGGAGGAGGAGTATACTCCTGAGTAAGTGATGATGACAAGAAATGTTGAGTAACATTTGGAAAAATGCAATGTGTAAAGTCCAAAAACACGACATTTTATATAGGTAAATATTTGAGAGTGTATATTGCCATTGACCATTTCATTTCTTTCCCATACTGAGTTTTATTCTATGCACTGGGCCGATGTATATCTTTGAGATGAGAGATGGTGAGACAATAATAAATATGATGAGCGGTGTTCTGTGGTGGTTTATTGCTTTTATTTTTAGGAACTGCATTCAAACAACCTTCTCCAGCTTAATCCTCAATGGCCGTTATGCAGGAACTATAGTTTATTACTTGAAGGTTATCCAGTGGAAGCTCAGACAGAGAGTCTGAGCCAACACCTTCAAAAACTGAGGGCAAGTCAACATAATATACTGTAAGTCATACATTTGGGCATTCATTTCAGTTTCTCCAGACTTTAGTAAGATATACTAATGTCTCTTAAGTCAGGCATCCTGTTGCTGGATCAAACGTTGCATGGCTACAAGTGGCTGTAGGGGTGGTTGATGTTAACACTTCCAGTAATGCACCAGTTGTCACGGTGTGGTTCACGTCCTGTCTTATTTTGTAGTTTTCTGCGACTCGTGTCCCCAGGTAACTTCACTTCCTGCCTGGTCCTGTCATCCCCTGTGATCGTCTGATTGTTTCCACCTGTGTCCAATCACCTGCACCTCCCTAGTGTATTTAAGCCGTGCGTCTCTTGTGTCACTTGTCGCATCATTGTCTATTGTTCCGGATGGTCCTTGTCTTTTGTCCTGGATGTTCCTCGTTCCTGCCAGCCTCCCCCCCCCCCCACGAAGCGTGGCCGCCACCGATTTCTGTGGAGCTTGCGTTAGCTAATGTTAACCACTGGTCATACCAGACCAAAATTACCTTTGACCAGCAAACTGCACTAAAATGTGGGGAATACATTTGTTCTAATACCCATACTATTATATATCGGTGGATCCGGAAGGATTCCCAGGGCTCCACTTTTTTCCACATTTTTGTTATGTTACAAGCCTTATTCCAAATGGGATTAAA